GCCCAGCACTAAGCACTCTGTGCTGACATCTCATCTCATTCTCATAGTCCTACTATGTCATTTTACAGCAATCAAAACACACCCCCCAAGCACACACAAAACAACAAATGTTAATTAAAAAAAAAAAAAACGGAGATATTATCACCGTTTCTCTCTCAGTATTGCTGAGGGGACTAAATGCTCTCAGGAGCATGACCAGCCTGGTGTACAGGCCTGGGTTTTTCCAGAGGTTTTGTCAATTGCTCTCCCAATGGAATTCCAGAATGAAAAAGTCAAGAGAGAGACCACACTCTCGGTGTCCTTCCCTTTACCCTCTGAAGGGGTGAGGTAGGGTCATGGTGTGGACAGCACCCAGAAAAGCAGCTCTGCCAAGGCCAGGCCTGGCCTCACTTCACTCCTTCATTCCTTTGTCTACTGTGTGAAAAAGACCCAGATCCTGCCCTCAAGGAGATCACAGGCTAGTAGGCAGTTAATCATAAAATACCCACTTATTAAATGCTTAAAAGGTTCAAACATGGGGGGAGCAGGGGAGGCTTCTCTGAGGAGCTGATGTTTAAATGGAAACTGAAGGAAGAAGAGTAGTTGGCTGTGGGAAGAGGCTGGGGAGAGCACTCTCGGCCAAGGGGAGAGCGCTGAAGAGGGAGGAGGCACATGCACCACAGCTGAGACACCGGAACTAAGTGGGAAGTGGCAAACGATGAGGTTAGAGGGGCTGGGCCCTAGGCTTTAGGCCTCATCAAGGATTTTGTTCTTCATCCCTGGAGAAATGAACACTCACTGAAGGGTTTGGGGTTTCTTTTTTAGATTTAATTTGTAAGAAATTTACCAACTCTGTAACCAGTTTAAGTGCACGGTTCAGTAGTATTAAGTATATTCACGTTGTTGTGCTATCACCACCACCACCTATCTTCAAAACACTTCCTCTTACAAAACTGAAACTCTGTACCCATTCAACAATAATTCCCTGTTCTCCCCTCTTCCAGTCCCTGGCAACCACTATTTCACTTTCTGTCTCTATGAGTCTGACTATTCTAGGTACTTCATATACATATTACCATATAGAATTTGTCTTGTGATTGGCTTATTTTGTTTAGCACAATGTTCTCAAGGTTTATCCATGCTGAAGCATTTGTTAGCATTTCCTTCCTTTTCAAAGCTGAGTAATATTCCATTCTCTGTATATACCACATTTTGTTTATCCGTTCATCTGTCCTAGGTATTCATGGGCACTTACACTGCTTCCACCTTTTGGCTACTATGAAAAACGCTTCTATGAACGTGGGTGCACAATTATCTCTTTGAGACCCTGCTTTCAGTTCTATTGGGTTTATGTCTAGAAGCGGAATTGCTGGATCATATGGTAATTAATTTTCTGAGAAACCACCACACCATTTTTCATAGTTGCTGTACCATTTTACATTTTCACCAACAGTGTACAAGGGTTCCAATTTCTCCACATCCTTACTAATTGTTATTTTGTTTTTTTGATAGTAGCCTTCCTAACATGTGTGAGGTGGTATCACTGAGGGATTTCAAGCAAGACTTTTGTTTTGTTTTGTTTTGTTTTGTTTTTTTGCGGTACGCGGGCCTCTCACTGTTGTGGCCTCTCCCGTTGCGGAGCACAGGCTCCGGACGCGCAGGCTCAGTGGCCATGGCTCACAGGCCCAGCCGCTCCGCAGCATGTGGGATCCTCCCGGACCGGGGCACAAACCCGCGTCCCCTGCATCGGCAGGCGGACTCTCAACCACTGCGCCACCAGGGAAGCCCCCAAGCAAGACTTTTAATCATAACCTGATCTGTGTTTTAAAAACGCTGGTCCAACTGCTGTGTGGGAAACTGACTGGAGGGTGATGACCAGGAGTGGAAGTTGGGATCTCCTCACACAGAGGATGCATGAAAGAAGGATGGAGACAAAGAGGGGTGGCCAGAATGATGCGGGCAGGTTGTCCGAAGTCTGAGAGAAGTGGAGCGGGTTAAAGATGGTTATCGCTGATTAGATGCAATTAAATCCAACAGGGTTTCCAGGCAGTTCTCACGACTGAATTTATAGTGATGCCAGGCTTCCTCCAAAACCCTGAAGAGGTCAATGAGGATGGGGATAAAGTCCCCAAAATGGAATAAAGTGGAAACAAATGGGCCCAACTAGCTATCAAACAGATAATTTCATTACACTGATGGACCAAGAAGCATTAAATCTAAATACATTTTGAACACAATACTCTGACAATATATATGCTCAGTGGGACACAGTCAAAGGACAAAAAGAACTGGAAAGAAATTGTATTTGTGACTTTACTTAGTAGATCTGTTCTTGGTCGGCACTGATGTAGCAGTTCAAAAACTATCTGTGTGTATTTTAGAATCAAACAAATGAGTTAAGTATTTTGAGGCTGTTGGGCATCAGGGTTCTCAACACAGAAGGGAGTTACAAGTACAGAATAAGAGAATACAAATTCTGCAGTGTTAGATTAAAAATAAAAGTATCAGTTTGAAATGTCAAGGAAAAAAAAAAAAAACTCCAGGAAAGTTTCCTAGCTCTGTTCTCTGAAAAAGCCTGAAAGCAATGACATCCTTCATATTAATGAGCACACTCAGGGCCCAGATTTTGGAAACTATTACCCACCAACAGAAATCATGTTTCCTTAGAAAAATCCCTGGTTTCAAGGCAGGGGCAAGTAAAGTACAAGGTGAGGGCAGAACACCTTATTGCGCCAGGAAGTGTGAAAACGCTCTGACATGGTGACATGTCAAAAAGACAGGTGAGGTAGCTTGAGGGAATTCCTACTGGTCAACTCTGGAACAAGCTGAGCATTCAAAGAATGACAGAAATGGAATGTAACTTTGAATAAAAAATAACCCAGGAGTCTATTTTGATATTTTAAAAATTAAAAATAGGGACTTCCCCAGTGGCGCAGTGGTTAAGAATCCACCTGCCAATGCAAGTGACGTGGGTTCGAGCTTGGTCCGGGAAGATCCCACATGCCGTGGAGCAGCTAAGCCCGTGCGCCACAACTACAGAAGCCCGCGTGCCTAGAGCCTGTGCTCTGCAACAAGAGAAGTCACCACAATGAGAAGCCTGCACACCGCAACGAAGAGTAGCCCCTGCTCGCCTCAACTATAGAAAGCTCACGTGCAGCAATGAAGACCCAACGCAGCCAAAAATCAATTTAAAAATTTAAAAAATTAAAAATAAGGGGGACAGAGAATAGAAAGCTTTTAATTAAAAAATCTAACTAATAAATGTAGAAAGAATTATAAACATAGAAAATTACTGTTTTATAATCATCACAGTAATAGCTGATTCATGCAAGAATCATCAACAGATGCTAAAACCACTGGGTAAAAGACTGTTGGGAGGCAGAAAATTCAGTCTGCTAATATAATACCACAGATCACTTATTAAACACAAAGGAAAACAGATGCCTTTACTGGAGAGAAAGGTGGCAGATACTGTCATAACCAAATGATCAAACTGAACAAAATCAACAATAAGACAGATGTCACGTGCCTGATGTAAAACACTTAGGAGAACACAGCTTCCCTTACATAGTGTTCTTGTTGAAAATGTTCAACCTGAATCAAATGATGAGGAAACAATCTGAATGTTCTACACAACAACTGACCTCAAGTCTTCAAAAATACCAATGCTAAGAACAACAAAAGTCTAGGAAACTGTTCTAGATGAAAGGTAATTGAAAAGACGTGAAAATAAATGCAATGTGTGGTATTTGGTTGGATAAGAAAAAAAATACCTCAAACCTAAAACCAAAAGCCTAGCTAAAAAGGACACTGCTGGGATGACTACAGAAATCTGAACATGGACTGTGTATTAAATGACATTAATGCATCAATCCTACATTTCCTAATTGTGGCAACAGGAGGATGTCTGTGTAAGAACAAGGAGATACATGATGAAATATTTAGGGGTTAAGGTTTATAAAGTCTGGAAATAATTCTCAGATGGTTCAAGAACAAAAAAGCATACAGAAAAACTAAGCAAAAGTGGCAAAATGTTAAAAATTGGTGAACCTAGGTGATGGGTATATGGGTGTTCATTGTAATATTTTTGCCAACCCTCTTTTCTGTGGGGTTGCAAATTTCAAAATAAAAAGTCAAGACAAGTCAGACTCGAAGAAAATACTTGCAAAACACATATATGATTAATGACTGTTACCCAAAATATACAAAGAACTCCTGAAACTCAACCATAAGAAAACTCGATTAAAAAATGGGCCAAACACCTGGACACCTCACCAAAGAAGATACATAGATGGCAAATAAGCATATGAAAAGATGCTCAACATCATATGTCATCAGGGAACTGCAAATTAAAACAAAAATGAGATACCACTACACACCTATTAGAATGGCCAAAATCTGACAAGGATGTGGGGCAACAGGGAATTCTCATTCACTGCCGGTGGGAAGGCAAAATGGTACAGCCACTTTGGAAGACAGTTTGGCAGTTTCTTACAAAAATAACCACATTCCAACACCACCAAGAATGGAATCTGGGTGATAATGTGTGCCAGCGTAGGTTCATCAACTATAACAAATGCACTATTCTGGGCAGGACTGTGAGAGTGCGGGGCAGGCGGGAGGTTCAAGGAAACTCTCTGCACTTACCACTCAATTTTGCTGTGAACCTAAAACTGCTGTAAAAAATGAAGTCTATTTTAAAAATTGGGGGATGGAGTGTACCAGATTAGGTACACTTTTTCCTCCTAGGAACTCACTCCGACTGACTCCACTGGCTAGGCCCCATCTCTACCCTGTAGACTTGTGGACTCTTGACTGCATCATTTTATTTCAAGTGGCATTTCCCACGTGAATCTTCTCTTCAAATAAACAGAAAAGAGAAATGAGAAGTGACTGTGCCCAAGAGAGAAAGATCCCTCTGTTAACCCTCCTCCATTCTCTGACACCTCAAGTCCATTCCTTATATCTGACCACTGGTTCTCTCTTCTTTTTCCCAGGGAAAGGCCAACCCTTAGAAATACCTGTGGAAGTCAACCAGGTGATCTGAATCGATATAATCATTCAAGTTCAGGGTCAAGTCTGACACTTGCTGTGAGCCATGTTCCTAGAAAAATGAAAATAGAAAATGAGAGACTAGGGTATTTCTGGTCTAATGAGTAAGTGGCGGGGCGGTGGGGGGAGAGGAACAATTTAATACTCAACCTAAAGAAATACAAAGAGACATATATAAGGACTGTTCGTAATAGATGAAGTGCATGTCTCATGCTTGGGGACTTCTCTGATCTAGGAATAATGCCTTTCTGAGGCAGAGCCCAGAAAAACCTACTTCCCAGGCTCTTTTGCAGCTTGGACACAGGCATGCAACTGAGGTGCCAAATGGATGCACAACTTCAACTTGGAGGTGAGCACCATGGATAAACAGGCTGAGTAAGGGGCAGACGTCTTGCTATCAAGAGTAGCAGCAGAGGCAGCAGGGGTCACAACATCAGTGGCTCCTGAGAAGGGGCACCTGGGTTGGCAGTCAGCCAGTACCTAATGCCCTGGGGTGGTGGCAGCAGCAGTGGTTTCCATGGCATGGTTTGGAGCAATGCCCTGGAAGCCCAGCCTTGAAACTGTTTCTCCAGCCCTCCCAACAATTCAGTGAGTTAGCCCAGTTCTTTTAATAAACCTGACTATTTAAACAAACCTGAGGGGATTCTGTCGTTTATAACTAAGAACCCTGTGTGATACAAAATCTAAACGTTCATCAAAAGGGAGACGGATAAACAAATTATGGTATTATGGAATACTACATAGTGGCTAAAATGAATAAGATATAGCTATATGCATTCCCATGTAAAGACCTCCAAAACATACTGAGGGGAAAAAAAGCAAAGTGCAGCACAATACAGACTGCATGATACTTTTGTACAAATACAGACAACCAGGCCAAACTTAAAAAAAGGGTCACTGCCCTCAGGGTGCTTATAGTCTACATTACATAGACTACAGAATATTCTGCTATAGTGGTAGAATACAAATATTACACCAAAGCATAAATAAGCACACTAATTACAAACTGTGTTAAGTACCAGGCAGGAAAATAAAATGATGAAGCAGAGGCATAATTTAGATTTTTCTGGCAGATGAGAGTAAGTAGTCAGGACTGAACTTCTTGAGTAAGTGAAAAACAAGAGGGAGTCAGTCAGGCTAAAGGAAGGGTGGAGGGTGTGTATCTGTGTGAGGCGGCAATGGTACAGAGGAAGAGCTTTCCAGCATAGGAAACATGAAGTATACAGGCTCCAAGGCGGCAGAAAGCTAAGCTTATCTAAAGAACTAAAAGTAGCCCCCGAGGCTACAATAAGCTTTTTTCTCCCAAGCTGTCCCTGAATGGATTTACCTTAATTTACTTAACTATTCCTCTGTGAAGGAAAGTCCCTCCTCTTACAGTAATAGGCAGGGAACATCTCTGAACACAAAGCATTTCTACATTTAGGGTCCTGGCCTCAGAATAAAGTTCTGGAAGTAGGATCACTGAGTAAAGTCTTCACGAACATTGAGGGTTCTTAAATGGCTTTCAAAAAGGCGATCCCAAGATCTACTCCCATCAGCAGAGCCCTCTGTGTCCTAGGGACTCACCAGCACATTGATGATCATGCTGTTCTCCACAGTGACAGCCTTCACAAGGAGCTTTCTGGACCCATCCTTTGACTCATACCGGAGGACATACAGGTCTTTATTGTTGTTCCATTCCGCTGGCAGCAGTTCTGATTTCTTATCATTGGGACCCGGCTGAGAAGACACCAGAGATGAGAGGTGAAAGATCATGACCTCAGATCTAAAAAGGACCTTACAGATAATCTAATCCCACTCCCTCACTTCACTGATGAAGACACGGAGGTCAGGAGAAGTAAAATGTCCAAGGTCCTACAGCAAGTCAGAGGTCTGGGGTCTCTGGACGCCTGCTCTAGTGATCCTCCCTCATATCTGACTGCCTTTGTGACAGAGCACTGGAACCTGTCAAGAATCTGTAGCCTTGGTTTAACAATCTCTTCTCTATCCCCCTGTCAAGAATAAGGCCAGTCACCTAAAGGGATACTGTGAAATTCTAAGACAGTGTTTCTCGAAGTTTGGAATTCAGGCCATCTGCAAAGGGATCACAAAAGTGTTGAGTAAAACTACAGATTCTAATGTACACCTCACCAGACTACTGTAGTGCCTTAATAAAAATTATGAACAACTTTCATACAAAATATAGCACACGTACAAGATAAAAAAAGAATTATAAAATGGACACCTATGTACGTACCTACAGCCAGCTTAAGAAACAGAACGTGGCCAATCCTGTTCAAGCCTTGAGTAGCCTGTTCCCAATGAATCTCCCTCCTCCTTCCTCATGGGTAATCACTAAGCTGTTTTAAAAATTTCTTTACTTTTCCTTATAGTTGTGTTACTATACACAAACCCTAAAAATATACTGTTTCAAATGTTTTTGAATTTTATATAAACAGCATCACTTTTGTCTGCCGTTTTCAATCAATATTGTTTTGAGATTCATCCATGTCAATGCACTTAACTATAGCTGACTCACTGTACAGTTTTTGCTATATAGTTCACAGCCATATAGCCCATCATTGCATGAATATGCTGCAAGTTACAAACTCACTTGTTGATGGATATCTGGAGTGCTTCCAGTTTATTTGTTTTGCTATTATAAAAATGCTGCTATGAACATTCTTGTACACATCTTCTAGTACACATATGGATGAACTCCTACAGAGTATCTCTAGGGGAAGAACTTTTAATTTATAAGATAAAGTCAAATTGTTTTCAAAAGAAGTACGGATTTACACTCCCATGAGCAATGTATGTATGAGAATTCTTGTTCCACGAGGTCAGCAACATTGCTATTGTCCAATTTAAAAATTTTTGCCAACCTAATGGGAGTAAAAATGCATCACTGTGAGTTGTGATGGCCTCATCTCTTTAAAAAAAAAATCCTAGGATTTTCTTTTTACATACTAACGTTTGAGAAATAGTTCTGAAACTACCTTGATAGTAAAAACTAATACAGTGTTTCCAGGTGGGGAAAGATTTCTTAAATGAGTCCACAAAAAAAAAAGTGCTGTCTTTGACACTGCTCGTAATTTAAAGCTCCAGATAAACAACAGATACTACAGACAAAGTTAACAGGCAGTCACGGGCTAGGATGAGCTATGTCCTAGCCTAGCTGGCACAACACAAATTAATAACTAGTACAAAAAGGGAATGCCTGGAAAACGAACAATAAAAATTGGGAACCCACTTGAAAAAGGTATGAACAAGCAAAAGATAAGAGCAGCTAACAGTGTATAAAGGATCATTCAACTTTACTAGCACTCAGACACACATAGGCTAAAATATGAGATACCAGGATCCACCCATCAGACTGCTGTTATCTATTTTTCTATTTTTTTGCCAGCGTTTGTGTGGGTGTGGGGAGAATGGTAACCTCCAGGCACTGCTGGTGGCCGTTCACACTCTTACAACCCTTTTGGAGAGCAATCTGGTAATATTCAGTGCAATTAGGTAAGCTGACACCCCGTGACCCAAAACCTTCACTCCTGGAAGAAATTCTGTGCACAGAGGCACAGGGAATATGACAAGGAATCTTCATCACAACCCTGTTGGAGGAACCAAATGGGAGTTAAAATGCAAAATATGTTCACAGTGGAATACTGTATAGCAGTTAGAAGGAACAAACTAGATCTAACTGCAGTATTATAGATAAAAGTAAACAATGTGACAAAGAAAAATTTTTTAAAAATGAGATTTATAGCCAGGTACCATTTATGTAAAAAATTTTAAAACACACAAAAAATCTATATATTGTTTTCATAGAAGCATAGTTCTACAGCTAAACACGCAGCAAGTGGACTGGGAAGATCTGTATTCGTGAGACTACAGCGGGAGGGAGTGCGACCAAAGATGAAAAACAACAACAAAAGACAAAGATCCAGCAACACAGACCTCACACCTCACCAAGGACAACAGAAGGCCAAGAACAGAGATCGTGGGCCGCTTTGGTCACCTCTGGGGCTCAGGAATCAAACTGGGAAAGTGGTCCCAAATAAAATTCAAGACATTGCAACTGGCATGGTTTCAAACCTGGCTAAATGACAAGGAAACTCAGGCCTGAAGCAGAGAAATGAGAGTGACAGAAAACAAAAGTGAAACTAATCAGCCCACTCTGCTAAAAGAAAGAGAAACTATCCCCTCACCCTCAACTGGGTAAATTTCCTATAACCATGTTTAGTGTCCTGGATTTAAGGTTTACTTTGGAAGCCAAGAATTTGATGACATGCCTTGTCTTTGTTCTATCAAAGGCCTTTGAATTTATATTTATACCCTCCATTACAGCATTCAACCCACCAGAATTTCTTCTTGGATTATAAATAATTCAGCCTGCTCACTCTCCCATAACCTCAGGCTTCCAGAGCAAGAGAGAATCCTAGGGCCTAGTGAGACTGATACCTCTCACTGCAGTGGAACCAATGTTCCCCAGCTCAAGGGCTGCCCTGATATGGGAAAACAGGTGGGATTGAAAGAGACTGGCCTTGGTGATATCAAGCCAAACATGGCATTCAACTGCCCTCTAGAGCGGGACATCAAATATCAGACCTCCCAAAGAGCTACGATTGGAAAGCAGCCAAAGTACATGGTTGTGCTGTTTAACTCGTTGGGATGAAAAAAAATCTAAGGGGGGCTGAAAACTGCCTAAGGTCATAGTAAGTCAAGTGCAGAGCTCAGTTTGGCATTCAGAGCTCCTGATTGCCCACGCTATGGCTGGAGATCTTCCCAGCCAAGTCCCCCAGATGGGCCCCCCAAAAGTAAAGATAGTTGTCCCCTTAGGCAAAATCCTGGGGCTGGAAGCATTCTTTAATGGCCATGAGTTCATTCCAGTGTCCCTGGGCTAACATGCACCCAAAGAAGATCATTTGGGGCATCTTCTCTCTTTTGTCATAATCTTTAGATTCCTACAACAGAAAACAATATTCTCAAAATTAAGTCTACGGCCATCTCTATTCCCTTGCTACTTAAACCACCTGACACAGCTGTAGAGCTCTTATGAGGAGTGGTGCTGACTTCAAGAAAGAAATCGAAATTCAAATATTGAATTTTTTATTGAAGCTGTATTGCTCTTCTAATCAAGTTTTATGTACACAATTCCCCTGTACCAGAGGACACAAAACCAAAGAGAAAAGCAGACAATTTATCTTTCTATTTAACTGTCAACATATTAAATGATCAAGTACACAATTTCAGGACCTTCCTCTCTCTCTTATCACCCCCAGAAGGGTGGGAAGCAGGAGGTGGCTGGAGAGGCAACATAAACATCCTCTGAACTTGGCAAATACTACTGGTCTCAGCTGAGACTGCTGGCCCCACACTGGAAAACTAAAACCTCTCTTAAATAAACTAATAGGAAAGATGCGCCTCCAAAAGGTTTCTACTCTGAGTGAAAGTAAACTCAGCAGAAGTGAGAGGAGGACAAGTGCAACCTGAAGTCCAGTGGCACTTAAGGGGCAGAGAGAAGCAAAAACACACCATGCTCTAGTGTGCAGAACAAATGCCCATCCCCCACCATGGGGGAACATGCTTGATTCAGCACTGGGGTGGACAGATGGACAGTGGGTAATGCCTTCTAAACCACCATCCGCACTCCCCCGGGCCTCCCCTAGGATGTCTGGAGCCAGAATCTTTTTCTGGCTTGCATGAACTCGACATGTGGCATCATAAACAGAGTGGAATTAGATGGACCTTTGGGATTCAGTTAAGGATCTCTTATTCATTTTTTTAGACCAGTATTGAAATGAGATTGTGTTCTTTCTGAAAATTTGGAAGCCTGGAGTACATGGCAAGGGGATGGTGCCAGTTAGGAGGAGGCAATGACCTACATGAACTGATGTCCCTAAGCTGTCAAAGTGACTCAGACAGAGTTGCTGACAGGATTTGTGAGGGGACGAGTGGTGGGAGCAGATCTGCAGTGCTGAAGGGGAAGAAGAGAAGGGAGTCACACAGGCTCTCTGTAACAAGTTCCTGTTCCTGGGGGGAGAGATTCTAACAGTGTGTCAGGGCAGCAGTAGCTAGCTGAGAGTAAAATACAGAGAGTGAGGTATATGACGAGGGGAGAAAGCAGGGCAAACCTGTTAGATCTGAAGGACAGGGCAAGGGGCAGGGAGGGGTGGGGGGGCAGTGCTGAGAGTCGAAAGGGGAGCCCGAAGGTCAGGAACAAGTCTTACCCCCTCTCCAATTCCACTGTCCCCTGCACCATCCTACACATCAGCTTTCTGGGAGAATGTCCCAGGAAAAGGTGAAATGAAATGCCTGGGGAAAGTGAAAGAGCTGATAAAGATTAGAAAGCTGGAATGAGGCAAGCGAGGAGACATAAGGTTTCTTTTGGGGTGATTACATACTGAAAGTGGAAACCTGACACTCAGGATTCTGGGCCCTGCCTCTACCTGATCCCAAGGTCTGAAATGTTGAAAGGCAAGGTAAGTGGAAGGAAGTAAAAGGTGAACAGAAAGGCCAGGAACAAAGGCATCTGGGAGGGAGAATGGTTCCTGCTTCCAGGGTGTGTGGGTGGGTGAGTGTGTGTGTCTGTGTGTCTGTGTGTAAGGCTGGTCCTTCTTTTCCCGTAAGCCTGGAGGTGGTGGTGGAGAAGTTTACTGTGTGTATCTGGGGTCCCACTGAGACACCTGAGGTCGGAGAGGGGGAAAAAAAGAGCCAGAAATCCATGACAGTTCTTGTGTTTCTTATTCCTGTTGGTGAGGGTAAAGCATGAGGGGGTGTGATAGTCTTGGTCACGAGTTTTAAGGGACAGAGAAATGGAGCAGTGGGGGTGGGGGGGCGAACCTGGCTCTAGGAGCCCAGGATGTGTAAACTCTGTCTGAGGAGGGATCCCTAAAGCTCTGTGTCAGAAGAGGAAAGATTAAGACGCTGGATGTATATCTGAGAAACTAAAAAAGGATTAGGGTATCTGAGAACTAAAGCAGTTAGAAATGAGAGTGAGGTTAAAATCTCACTGTACGACGAAAGGAGTGAAGCGCCCTGCTCCCCAGAGCTGGTCTCGGTTCTGAGAGTGAGAAGAGAGTGACAGTGAGGGGCAGGCAGTGAGTCCTGAGCGTGTGTATGGGAGGATATTTCCTCGGATGGAGCAGAAGGGAAATGAAGGGGCAGCAAGGGGCCCAGGCCCCGTTCTCACAGGAAGCTGGTGTGTCCAATGACGTATAGGGGGAGAGTCGCAGGGAAGATGGGAGAATGCTACGGCAAAGAATCAGTGAGGTCGGCCGGGCGCGCCAGTCCTGGGGCTCTGCGGGGATGACCACAGGGCCCCCTGCTCTAAGAGGCAGAGCCTGAGGATGGGACAGCTGTTGGGGAGGAACCTTACTTGGCCCTACACCCAGGGTGCATGTCTGTACGTGTGTGGGAGGTGGCTGTTCCCCCGGAGCCTGCGTGAAGACCGTAACGGTGAGTGGGCTGCACCAGGCCCTTCAGTAAAGCGTGAAGGGCTGTCTGAGCTCTAAGGGCCCTTGACTGGAGCTGAGTCGGCCCAACCTCCCCCCATACCTGTGCCTGGATCCAGATGTCTGGTGGGCGCTCGACTACAGTATGAGGAGGGTAGTACTGGGTCCAGCCCCACCCCACCCAGCAGCGTGGGAAGGAGCTTGGAGTTCGGGTAGGTGAGGAGTACTCAGGAGAGGAACCCGTCTCGCTGCCAGACCCGCACAATCCCGGCCTCGGAGGCTGCCAGCCTGCGCTGCAGCGAGTTTTGTCCTTGGGTTTTCAAATCGTGTTGTGCCAGCTAGGCTAGGACAACAGAGCGCCTCCCCGACCCGTAGACTACAGGCACCCACGGTGTCATGACTCCTAGGACCCAGACCTGGGAGGAGGGAAGGTCAGGCACTTTGGACCGAGCCTCCGGTCCTCTGGGTTTGGGCAGAAGACACCTTACCCCCTCCACACTGGCCCCGGGGCGGCTCCGTGGCGTACCTGGTCGCCGGCACCCAAGCCGTAGTAGCCATGCGTGACCACCTCCCAGTGCAGGAAGCAGATGAGCGCGTCCTGCGCGCAGGTGATGGCCGGCGCCGCCGACGCGAACAGTACCTCCAAGCCCGCCATGAGAGCCCCCGGCTTCTGCGGGCGGAGGAAGAAAGGGAGAAAGTGCGGTGAGCCGATTCGGCCCTCACAGTTCTGCTGACTCCACTCCGCTACTCCGCTGGTTCTCGTCGAGTCTCCACCTGCGCGGCCAAAATGGAGACGCTCTGCGTTGGGGTGTGGCCGCCGGAAGTAGCTTCCCGCTCCGGCGCTGCTGCGCCAGCGCGCCCGGCTGCAAACAGAAGGGAGACGCTAAAGGGTTCCGACAGGCAGCGCGTGGGCGGGACAGGACCCCTGGGGACAAGGTCCCTCAAAGCTGGAATCTCCTTCTTCCCCGCAGCGGGCAGATCCGCTACACGTAGGTTGTGGCATCGTTTGAAGAGAGGTTACCTTGTTCTGAGCCACAGACCTCCCATCTGCAGAATGGGGTGGACGTATGCTGGTGGGAGAAGAGGTAATGAAATAGGGCTATAATATATTCAGAATAATAATTGACACATGCGGTGCTTGCTCCATGGAACATTATTCTAAATGCTTTACTTGTATTCATTTATTTAATCCTCACCACCCAACCCCATAAAGTTGGTATTTGATAGCTCCATTTTACTGATGGGTAAACAGACACACAGAGGGGTAAACGTCACAAAGATGAGTGAGTGGCAGAGATGGTACTGCAATCTAGCAGTCTGGCTCCTTGGACAGCATTTATTAAATGTTTCCTGTGTGCTAGATCCTGTGTCAAAACATTCACATCACCCTATCAAAAACTCCATGAGGTATGTTCCATTATCATTCCCATTTTGCAGATTTGTCACCAGCTTGGAGAATGGAAGCCGCTTCCCCCAAGAAGACGCAGCTGCTGACTGGAGAGCTGGCGCTCCTGATCCACTACCAAATGTCAGTCATTTATTTGTCTGTCTCCTTCATGATTTTTACCACTTACTGTTTTTACTCAGATAAATTTAGTTTTCCCATCCCAGTCAGCACCCTGCAAGCCATCATCATCTCTCGCTTGGATGTCTGCACCAGCCTCTAAACTGCCATACTCCATCTCTGTCTCCCTAAAGTCTGTTCTACACTCTGCAACTAGAGATGCTGTTAGAACACATGCCAGATCACATCGCTTCTCTACTCAAAACCCTCCCAGGGCTTCCATCACACTCAAAAGAAAAGTAAGTCCTTCCCATGGTCTGCAGGAACCTTCCTGTGGTCTGTGCTCCCCACCCCAATGTCTCTCTCTAACATTACTCCCTCCAATTTCCCTGCACTCTTGACTGCAATAACCTTGACTCCCCTCTTCTTTCACACCCACATCTGATCCAACAGCAAAGCTAGTCAACTTAACCCTCAAAATATATTCTGAATCGGACCACTTCCACCCACCTCCACTGCCTCCACCCTGGTCTGAGCCTCCGGCATCTCATACTTGGACTATTGCAGAAGCTTCCTAACCAGTCTCCCTCTTCCACATGTTCTATTCTCTAGGCCTTTGCATATACTCCCTCTGCCTGGATTGCTCTTTCCCCAAACATCTGCATGGTTTGCTCTTTCATTTTAAATGACTCCTTCCCTCACCTCCTATCAGTCTCAGCAGAGGGCTTCCCTGTCATCCCATCTAAAATAACCTTCTATTCTTAACCCCTTACCTTGCTTTCTTTCTTGCAAAGCATTACTCATAAGCTGACACTATATTAGATATTTATTTGCTTAATTATTTAATGACTGTCTTCCCACTAAACTGTGACAAGGGAGAAGGGACCATGTCTGTCTTGTGCACAGGTATATACCTGAATGCCTTCCTGGCTCAATATATACTTAATGAATGAATGAATGCTGAATGAATGAATTATTGGCCTGGGCTCAGGCCAACTGGGCCAGTCTCACCGCTTTGCAGTCCACCACTCACTTTGTTAGCTGGCCCTGTACTTTTCCAAATTTTGTGTTCTTGGGGTTCCCCTGGGATGCCCAAATTCTTGAACCCCATCTGCAGAGATTCTGGCTGAGCATTTCTGAGGTGGAGTGCACGTATGTTGACGACACTCTGGGTGATGCTAGAGCTGGTGGCTATGGAACTCCTGAGATGTACTGCCTGTGACATAAAGCTATTTGCCCTTTCCACTAAGAAGCTTTGCACTTACAAACTTCCTACTTTTGCTTGCTCTGTCTCTTCCGCTTGCAATGTCTTTCCCCACTTATTGGAAGTTCTCACCAATTCATTCATTCATTCATTCACTAATTCACTAAACCTCCATAGGCCGGGTTGCCATGGATAGTGATGCAGGCTGTGCACTGCACAAAAGTACCCACCCAGTGGCAGCCCCATTCCTAAGTGTCTACTATGAGCAAGTCCCAGATGACCAAGCTGTAGTTCCTGCCTCTATGGAGCTCACTGTCTAGTGGTTAAAAAAAATTACAGATAGAGGTAACCTAGTGAAAACTGCCATGGCAGAGGGGCACTTGGAGGACTGTACCAAGCAGCTGGTACTGGGTGATTAGAAGGTCACTGCTACAAACTGAGGCCTTCCCCCATCTCCTCTGCCCACAGTGATGCCTTAGTGCAGCTGGCCTCAGTGGAGTGCCAAGGAGCAGGCATGGGACAGTGAGATCTATCGGCTTCAGTGGGGAGGGGAATTTTATCACTGAAGTTGGTTAGAATGACTGGTTCATGGTGATAATAAAAAGTAGACTGGCTGTTGGTCCATGTTATTACTGCTTTTAAGTTTTTAAAGACAATGTCCCCCCTACCACTATTGCCTGCCCTGGGCAGACAGCTCCCTTTGGTTCAGCCACTGCTTTGCGTGCAATCGGTTAGAGCTCGCATCTCACAGAACTTTGGTTCCTTGTTATACATCATCCCTGTTAGCTTGGGTTCCCTCAGAAGCTAATTTGAGATGAGGATTTGAGTGGTTTATTGGGGAGCTGATTCCAGGAGATAGCAATAAGGGAGTAGAGAAGTGACACGGGATGAAAGGCAGCCAATGTATGTTATGTGCTCAAGCCAGGAGCTCTGGGCACCTGGAGCTCAGTCCTGCCAGGCAACTCTGGCAAACAGTGTAGGACATGTCTCAGAGTTGTTTCAATTGAAGGCAAGGGAACTGGTGTGTTTTGTTCACTGACTCCCATCTGCCACAGGTCAAGGGCTGCTTCTGGGGGCATGAAAAGCCCTCAGGCAGAGAATTGCGAAGTTTAAAGAAAGAAGCCTGTGGTTCTTAGAGGTGCCTGCTGAGGAGTGAGTGGGGCACCATGGAGTCTGCTTTGTGCCTCATCCCCCGCACCCTAGTCTGTGGGTCAGCAGCCAGCATGGAGTAGGCACTAGCATCTGGGTACTGAAAGAATGAAGTGAGCTCTGTCTCTTGCACTAGGCTGTGAGTCCCTTGAGATCAGGACTGTGTTCCATCCACACTGGACCCCAGGGTCCTCCATGGATGGAAGCAAATGGGAGAATCCTGTGGGGCTGGAGGTTGTCTGTGTCCTGACCCCAGTCCATCTAGCATTTTCTGTGGACTTACCTCCATCAACAAGAGTCTCAGTTGTCCCTGTGAGGCCTGTGAATGGGTGAGAGGAAAGCAGGTGGAAGGTGCCTCCCTAGCTGGGCCCCCAGTTCCTGGGCTGTACAGAGCCCATGCCGGAGATGAGGGCCCAGGATGATGGAAAGAACGTGGCAGGTTGCTGCAGCTACCAGTTCTTGGTTGCCAAGTGACAGCAACATGGGTATTCCAAGTTCTCTGGAAACTGTCTCCATGGAAACTGTGAAGCAGTGAGCTGAGAAGCAGGATCCAGATGAACACTGAGGTGGAATCATTCACCACTGGAATCCTGCCCCTTTGGCCTAGCATCAGCCCAACCACTACACCTCCTCCGAGAAGCCCTCTGTGATTAATACTGTTCAATAGTATCTGAACTTCCCATTCCCCTTGTCGATGGGGTGCCCAGCATATTTGACACCTGGAGGAGATAACTCTTTAAAAAAATTATATATATGTATATATATAATTTTAATATAACTTAGTTTTTTGAAAGTCTTTTATTGTGGTTAAATACACATGACACAATTTAACTATCTTAATTATTTAGACGTGTACAGTTCAGTGATATTAAGTACATACATATTGTTGTGCAGTCTCCAACATTCATCTTCAGAACTCATTTTATCTTGCAAAACTGAAACTTTGTATCCATTAAACCTTAACTCCCCATTCCCGTCTCTTCCCAATCCCTGACGATCATCATTCTGCTTTCTGTAGAATCATGTCTCTAAAGATCTGACTACTCTAGATCCCTCATTTAAGTGGAATCATACAGTATTGTCTTTTTGTAACTGGCTTATTTCACAGCTTAATTTCTTCAGGTTTCATCCATGTTGTAGCGTGTCTCAGAATTTCTTTCCTTTTTAAGGCTGAATAATATTCCATGTATATATCTGTATCATAGATATATATCTATATATATATTTATATATCTATCTATCTAATGGAATAGCTATACCTATCACATTTTGCTTATCCACTCATCGGTTGGTGGACACTTAGGTTGCTTCCATCTTTTGGCTGTTATGAATAATGCTTCTGTGAACATGTGTGTACAAATATTTCTTTAAGACTTTGATTTCAGTCGTTTTGAATATATACCTAGGAGTAGAATTGCTGAACCAATGGTAATTCTATTTTTAATTTTATGAGGAATTGCCATACTGTTTTCCACTGAGGCTATAACATTTTACATTCCCAACAGTGCACAACGGTTCACATTTCTCTACATCATTGCCAGCGCTTGTTGTTTTTGGTTTTATTTTTTGATAGTGGCCATCCTAATGGGTATGAGGCGGTATCTCATTGTGGTTTTGATTTGCATTTCCCTAATGATTAGTGACGTTGAGCATCTATCCACGTGCTTATGGGCCATTTGTATATCTTCTTTGAAGAACTGTCTGTGCAAGTCCTTTGTCCATTTTTGAATTAGGTTGTTTTCAAATAGGCATTATTTTTAGAGCAGTTTCATATTCACAGCAAAAACTGGGAGGAAGGACAGAGATTTCCCACATACCTCTCCCTCAACACATGCGCAGCCTCTCCCTTTATCAATATCCCCCACAGAGTACTACATTTTTTATAATTGGTGAACTTACATTGACACATCATTATTACCACAGTTCATAGTTTACATTAGGGTTCACTCTAGGTGTTGTACATTCTATGGGTTTGGACGAATGTATAATGACATGTTTCCACCATTATAGTTTCATACAGAGAAATTTAATTTCACTGCCCTAAAAATCCTCTGCTCTCCACCTATTCATCTCTTCCTTCCTCTTAATCCTTGGTAAGCACCGTTCTTTTTAATCTTCATAGTTTTGCCTCTTCCAAATTATCATAGAGCTGGAATCATACAGTATGTAGTCTTTTCAGACTGGCTTCTTTCACTTAGTAATACACATTTACGATTCTTCCATATGTTTCATGGCTTGATAGCTTTTTTTTTTTTGGTCTGTTTTTTTGTTTTTAAGCATTGCATAACATTCCACTATCTGGATGTACCACAGTTTACCCATTCACCTACTGAAGGACATCTTGGTTGTTTCCAAGTTTTAGCAATTATAAGTAAAGCTGTCATAAACATACATGGGCAGGCGTTCGTGTGAATATAAGTTTTCAGTTCCTTTGGGTAAATACCAAGGAACATAATTCCTGAATAGTATGGTAAGAGTATGTTTAGTTTTGTAAGAAACTGCTTCCAAAGTTGCTGTACCATTTTGCATTCCCACAAGCAATGAGGTCCTGTTGCTTCATATTCTCACCAGCATTTCATGTTGTCAGTGTTCAGAATTTTGGCCATTCTAATAGGTGTATAGTAGTATCTCATTGCTTTCATTTGCATTTCCCTGATGATATATGATGTGGGGCATCTTTTCGTATGCTTATTTGCCATCTGTGTATCTTCTTTGATGATGTGTCTGTTCAGGTCTTTGGCCCAATTTTTAATCAGGTTATTTTCTTATTGTTGAACAACTCTTATTGTTGTTAAGAATTCTTTGTACATTTTGGATTAAAGTCCTTTATCAGATATGACTTTTGCAAATATTTTCTCCGAGTCTGTGGCTTGTCTTTTATACTCTTGACAGTGTCTTTAGCAGAGGAGACTTTTTAAATTTTAATGGAATCCAGCTTATTGATTC